TCGTCATACTCTTCATCGTCGAGCTCATCCTCATCGTAGCCGTCTGAAGATTCGGGGGGGATAACCCCCCCCTTCTTGGCAGCGGGATGCTGGTGGGGGTGCGGGTGGGAGTGTGGGTGGTTGTGACCATGATGATGCCTTCCATCGCCTCGTACCGGGTGCCCTCTCGGCTGTGTGATTTGGTCTCCACCGATCACAGCGCCGTTGCTGTCCAGGGCAACACTTCCTGGGAAAGGACCTGGGCCAGGTGGAGGGGGGATCGTACCGCCACTGCTGGCCCACCTCTGCTGATGGTTGGCGTAGTCTTCGAGCTCGTCGTAGTAGGCGTCATAGAGCACCTCTAGCTCGTCCTCGATTGCGGTCCGCTTCCGGCCGCAGACGGCGCAGCTGCAGCCGTGCTTTTGCTGGTCCTTCATCTTCTTGAGCACGGTTTCCTTCTCCAGCTTCACAAGCTCTCGGCGCTCCTTTTCTGACAGCCCCAGCCAGAACTCCTTGATGCGTTCTCTTTCTTCCACGGAGCTTGTGGACCAGATCCGCGTTGGTGGGTTAGAGCCAGCTGTGGAAGGAGCGTGATTCGAGCCATGATTATGAGAATTTGTGCTCAACTTGGTCGTGGTAGCTGCCGGGCGCTTACCTGCTGCTGTGGAAGACGGGGGCGGCACCCCACTCCCGTTTGCTGGCCGCGCCGCCGCTTTGGCATTGGACGAGTTGAAAGTCATGGGCTGCTTCCCAGCCGCCCTCGAACTTGGAGGAGGTTGCACCTGGTTCCCGCCAGGCCTGTTCCCTTGAGACTGGGCCAGTGTGGCATTGTTGTTAGATGCTGGTGCGTACTGCTGTTGCCCGGGTCTAGCTGCTTGCAGGGGCTGGGCCTGAATGCCGCCAGCTGGGTGGCCGGCTACGTCGATCCCACCTCCACCACCGGTGCCACTTTTCTTCTTTTTCTTTTTCTTGTTCTTTTTGGTCGCCGTTTGCTCACCATTCGCGGAGCCGAGGACCCCATTGGGAGCGCTCGTCACACTGCTGATGTCCTCCTGGATCCAGACGCCGCTGTTGTCCGGCATCATCCCACCTCGATGACCCATCATGCCGCCGTCGTGGTCGAGCTCATCGTCACTGTAGTACTCATCATCGTAGTCTCCAGTCTCCTCGCCGTACTCGTTGACCAAAACGACTGGAGCAGGTAAAGGCTCGCCGGGGGGCTGAGTGGGCGGGGGGTTGGGACTCGTGGCGTACTGGACGTGGGCTCGGCCATGCACGAAAGGCGAATGCGCGCCATTCGGCTGGTTCCCTGCGTTCGTCCCAGCAGCATTGGGGTGCGGGTGGAGAGGCAAGGCCTGTTCCGGATGGAGGGCTAGATCCGCGAAGATCGAAGGGTCGAAGGGTAAGGGCGGGTAAGGATGGGTGCCGGGAGGGAACTGCTGCAGGTGCCTCTGTGATGCGTGTGCAGCCTGCGCGAGCTGCTGAGCGACGGCGATCATGGCCTGTGTGGACGCATGCCTGGTGTTGGGATCGTTAGGGTTGCCGTTCACAGCAGCCTGGGCACTTGGAGGAAATTGGCCGAGTGGAAGCGCGTTCCTGATGAATGTCCTTAGGTGTGCTGGAAGTGAAGTCCAGTATGCGTCATCGTCAGGGATCCCTTGCGGGTCGGCCTCAATACGGCGGTAGAGATCGCTCGCAGTGGCAAGCAAATCTGCTTGAGCCTTCGCAGTGGCAGAGTAAGCACCGGGCGAACGAGGCCTGGGATGAGCCGCCGAGTTCATGGTTGGCGAGTCGTACTCTTGGCCATTGACAGCTTCGGCATCCTTCGACTTCGACTTTGACTTTTTCTTCTTCTTCTTGCTCGAAGCAGAAGAAGACTGAATCTGCTCATTGGAAAGACTGGGGGATGAAGGCTGTGTGGGAGTCGAGGACTGCCTCTGCTGTTGTTGCGCCGCTGCCGCCGCTGCAGCCGCGGCGGCGGCAACCTTTGGAGGTGGTTGGGTTGGCCTTGACGAAGGGTTCGGCCTTGGAGGGGCCTTTGCCTTTGCCATGATTCAAAGGCTGGGAGACAATAGAACGAAAGCTTTAAGGCTGAAAGTACGGAGTCTTTCGATCCCCAAAAGGCCGTTCGATGAAGCACTCGGTCCTCTGGAAGGGGTTTTTTTTTTTTTTTTCTTTGAGAAAAAAAGAAACTAAGAAACGTTACGGATTGATGACGGCAGAGAAATCAGGGTGAAGAGCCTTTTGCTCGTCTTCTTTTTCCTTCAGCCTTACTTTTTTTCCTTGTGCTTTCTCTTCTTTTACTCTTCCCTTTTCCTTTTTACACCCCGTCGAAATGATGAAATCGTTTCTTCCTTTCCGTACTTTGGGTGATTTCTTTCCTTTCTTTCCCACCGCTTCAACGACTTGTGAATGCAGGGAGTGGTCCGGGCTGGCTGAAAGAAAGGAAGAGTAAAACGAAGGGTGGTTGTGACGATTGGGGCAAGAGGGTTTGGAACGGAGCGAGGGGGATGATCGCGAGATCGACCTTGGGTTGTCCTTTCTCTTTCTCTCTTTTCCTTTTTTCTTGTTCTGCCTAAGGGCTTGAAGGGAGGTTGATTGAGATGTTGGAAAGGAAGGTAGAAAGTGGTGGGATGAGGGAGGTCGTAGTGGGGTTGAGTGGGGGGGAGTCGAGGTTTGGAGGAGGTGGTGAGGGTTGGGAGGGTGACGAGGTCGGATGATGAGACGATGGAGGAGGATGGGGGTGGTGGGAGGGGGAATACAAAGAGGGTGAACCACGGTTAAAGTGAGGTCGTAACTCGCGAATGGGGTCGAGCTTTAAGAGGATTACATACTCGATAGAGTAGTAAAAGAGGGACCAGGGAGGAGAGAATACAAGACTCGAAAGGGAAAGAAGCGTGGATACAATTTATGGATACACCTTACCTACTTCAAGCCAGCATCTGTGTTAATGTAAGTGTGGATCGAAAATGGCCACCCAGAACGAGATAGAGAATCTCAAGCGTCACGACTACAAAGAATACACGCTTAGCCAAAGACCCACTTGAATTCAAACCCCTGCCAGGAAGCCAGCCCTTGACTCTTTCTTGACTCTTTCTTGACTGACCCACTGGCCCCCCTCTCCCCTTCACCTCCCTCTGGCTTTGCACGCACCCTGCCCACTCCTCACCCACACGCTCACTGGCTCTCCCCTCCCCTTCTTCCCTCCCTCTCGCCCTCGCTCCATCTCTCACACACACATAATAATCAATCACTATGACTCTAACTGTGACTCTCTCTCTGGTTCCTCCTGCTCACCCACGCCCTCTATTAACCAAGCCCTTCCTTCTTACCCACCATTGATGATTGTCTATGAGTGTTTCCTCTCTCCCACATTACAAGAATCAAGTGAGAGTGATCAGCCCATCCTAATAGAGTCGAACCTGGCATTCCCTTTTTAAAACTGCCTCGAGTCGTATTGGTCATAGCCCGTAATGTGTTTTCCCTCTGTTTCGCTCGCTCTCAAATCACCCACATCTCGTCTCTCACCATCACACCTGCGGGCTTTTCCTCTCCTTCCCTTTGCCTTCTCCTTCCTCTGTCTTATGGAGTTTACCACCATGATGAGAGCGAATTGTTCCCCTCTGTGCTACGTACAGTATGAACTCGTTCAACTCGTCCATCTCCTCCGCTCTCTTCACCTTCCCTCCCTCCCTGAGCATCTGTGAAGGAGTACATAGGTGTGAATGCGATGCATCCTTCCCAAAACCCAATCCACGTTCTGCCCCGATCGGGGATCCCACTTTACCCTTGCCAAAGTTCGATCATGACCAGAGAGTCCAATCAGAATATGACCTTGTTCAACTTTTTTTTCTTTTCTTTCTCTCTCTCCTCTTCCTTTCTTACAAGCCGAATCGCATCGAAGGGCTGGAGCATATTCACGTGATTCGATTCGTGTCTACCGCTGATCAAGAGGTGACACGATCGCTGCTCTGACTCTCACTCACTCGCACTCTCTTCGTTTGAGTCCAAGTCTTTCAAAAATCATGGCAATGAAAATCAAAGGTTCGTGGGATCGTCATCATCTTGATGAGAACCACTATGACTGGTCCAGGTGGAGCAAGGTATGCGTGTCGTGTATCGAAGTCCTATGTGTAGATAGTCGAGGTGGTCTGAGATCGTCCCCGTCCGTCTTCCTTCCCGCTGTCCCAATCAAGATTCAGATTCATTTCCCCATTCGTCGTCCTCTCTTTTCTCAGCTCGATGTCAATCGTCAGAGTGTCAGACGGGTCTTTCTCTTTCCATCCTTCTCCCCGAACCCTTCTCTTCGCTTGATCCCAGGCCCCTGAAGTTTGGTTTCTGGACATCGCAATACATCGGATGGGATGGGTGGTGAAGAGAATCTCCTTTACACTCGAGGTTGGCGCGCGATCACTCAAGAGCGATAAAAATCTGGTTGGCAACTTTTCACCATTTTCTCTCTCTCTCTCATCTCTGGAGCCTCAACTGCGGTATCCTGAAAGCTCCATTTTTGGTATATTTTTTATTGTATTTTGAATCACATTTTTCTATTCATTAACACACTCACAAGTACAACTCCCTCTCCCGCCTCCCGTTCCCTCTCCGTCTTGCCCAATTGCCAGTGTTCATTCCCACCTGATCGGCGGATCCACTCAACCACCACTTTCGATCTGAAACGCCACCTCCAGACCGGTCCCGATCTCACCTGGGTGAATCGGGAATCTCAATCCTTTCAATCATCAACAAAGGCTTATCCTAACAGCCCGACAATTCACTTATGGTGCGACTTACTTCATAGATCTTTCTTTATCGTTGTGATTCCTTTTCGCTTCCCCCCTCCTTTTTTTTTTTTTAACGTGGAGAAAGATATATGACACTTGACAAGGAACGATACCCACAAAGAGGGGACAAGGTGATGTGCTTGACCAGCCTCCACTAACCCATCGAATGGGAATATTTCGTGTTATTTCACACTGTACAGGGGGTATAATATGCACTATTTCTCAAAGAGAAACAAGAAGTCCTTGTTAGTACAATGGCTAGTATACGGCACTTTCACTTTCCCGTAGGGGGTGTGAGGTATCTGCTGAGATCGGGGTTCAATTCCCCGGCAGGGAATTTTTTTCCCCTCATAGGCTCTTTTTTTCTTTCTTTAATCATCATCTTGAGCACTTCTTTCTTCTCCTCCCTCTCCCCTCCACTCCCTTTTTCTTCAACGCCTCGCTCACTTTTACCCACCTCGCTGGAGAGAAACCTTCCTTTCCTTTCGCTTCATTTTTTCCCTTTCTTTTCCCTTTTCTTGGCCATCTACGGTTGCGGTTGCTTGGCTCGCTCTGAGTCGCAACCCAATGACCAGAGGTTGGGGAGAGAAGTCCTTAGTGCTGATCTATTTACTTTGTTTACTGTAGAAAGTATTCACAGCCGGGCGACCTCCACTTTTTCGAGTGAAATCCTTCCCTTCTACGCTCACACTTTTCTATTCTTTAATCTTACTATTCTTGCTAATCTCATCGTCCCCCATCTTAGCTGTTGTTGTTTGCTTCTCGAGACGGGTGACAAGATGCGTAAAGATGATGATGTCCTTATGCTCCTTACGGGCGGACTTCTTAGTTTGGCCCGCGTGTCTGGTCACTGTGACTGTTACTTGGAATGGGAGGAAGGGTGACATGGGATGTTAATCAGAAGCTTACATTCGTCTGATGCTTACCTCGTCTTCATGAACGTATTAGCAACATGGCAACATGTGATCCCCGAATCGCCCTGAGCGTCCCTCCCTCTCACCTCAGGCTATCAAACTGGGGGGGGGGGGGTCCTTTGTCCCGAGTGTTGAGGGCGATGGCACCTCATGCACACCCATGCGGCACCACAAAACAAAACGAACACAGCCCAGAACCCCAACCCGTCCCCTCACCATTCCCTCGGATCGGGCTGGCTGGTGGAGGCTGTCAGCCCCAGAGCAAAGAGTGATGGTCACAAAGTCTTGCCCAGAGAATCTACTGTGCAACATTTCATATTCACACTCATGACTTGACTTGAGATTCTCACTCTGATTATTTGGTGATGCTGTTCGCGATCGATTCCCACACACCAGCTCCTATTTTGGATTCTATTTCTCTCTTCTCCCTCCTCTCTCTTTTTGTGCGTGTCGATGTGAGGAGGCCTTGGGCGGCGGCGGACTACCATGGTAACCAACTGCAGATGCGAGAATGACCAAAAAGGAAAGTAGGGGAAAAGGAAAGAATCCAACTCGTTCCACACTCACAACTCAAAGCAAACACGACGATTCAAACAGTCCAACCCGTGACTTTCTAGCCTGAGGATCATCCAGTCCCACCCAAAACCTCCCCCATCATCATCGCCAACGCCATCATAAACTCAACCCGCTTGCCCTTTCCTTCATCCCCCTCCCAACTTGCTTCAACCTATCCACCTGAATCACGGCACCCAAATAGCCCCTGCCACAAGCTGATTGAGGATACAAGGCAGAAAAGAAAAAGAGATTCAGCCACTCCAGACGAGGTGGCAGACGAGGAGAGAGAAAAACTGAGAAGGAGAAAAGGAAGAGAAAGAGGAACAAGAAACAAAGAAGAAAGGATAGCAACACCAGCGACCAATTGAGCTCAACACCACCAAAGTCACCAGCCAGGAGACCATCCATCCCACCAGCCACCAGCCTCCAGCGAAGCTCACACGGTTGGTCGTCGCAAGATAGCCGAGTGGAGCCCAGGGCCACAGACGACTCTCCTCCTTTACATCTACACCTCTCACTCTTCCTTCCCTTTCCCCCCTTTTCCTACTCCAACTTTGGCTGCCCCTCTCCCTGCCTCGACTATCAACCTTCACTCTTCACTTGGCCGTCCCTTGCTTTCCGTTTACCATCACTCAGGAGCCAAAGCGTCATCTGTCCATCGCAGGGCATCGCTCGTAGGCTGACCGACCACCACGGAGTCAAGACCCATTCCCTCCCTCTGCTCCTCTCATCTCTTGCTTCGCTCGGACCAAGTCGTTTCTGTTCTTCTGGAACCCTGGCTGCTGAGCCCATCACCACCTTTCACCAAGGGTCGCCTGATCTCGTCCTGACAGAGAAAGCATCGGCACACAACAGCGAAAGAGGGAAACCAATAACCGACTGCTAGAACGAGCTGGGACATTACTCAGTATACATCGATCACTCTCCAGGCTAGAAAGCCTTGCGATCAGTTAGAACGAAACCGACCAAGGACCTACATACGACAAGGCGCGGCGTTGGTGGTCTCAATCAAGTTACAAAAGGACAAAGAGTTTCCAGCAGCCACTTTGCATAAGGACTCGTAAACGGAAGTAGCATCACAATGGCACCTGCACCGGTCAGTGTCAACTACGATCAGGCTGCACGCCTCTTGCCTTTGCCGAGCGCCGAGGACCGTTACACATCCATAACCAGGGATCTGGGCCATGGACTGAACCTTTCTACCTCCTTTCCCACCTCGTGATCACCTTCGTCTTTCGACCCGGTCCTGATCCCCCACCCTGACAGATTCGAAGAAAACTTGTGATCGTCGGTGATGGAGCGTGCGGGAAGACGAGCCTTTTGTGCGTCTTTGCGATCGGGGAATTCCCACAAGAATATGTGAGTATTTTTGTGAGGAGAGAGCGCTGTCAGAATCGTAAAGTGGGATGATGGAAAAAAGGTTCCTCATGCCCGGACAGGTGAAGCGATGATATTTGGGGATTTTTTTGGACGCCATTCAAGTTGACCAAGGAAGTACGATTCCGCTCAAGTTACACAAGTGGAATCCCAAGGGCCAAATCCCATGACGGACAGCGAGGAAGGATGTGGGAGTCGAGGTCAACGGGGAAACGACCATGATTGTGTCGCCAATCAATGCTGTCCTATTTACAGCATTGGCTGACCCCCTTTCGTGACGAGGCATGAAAGCAAGGTATCAAGGTGTCAAGGAAAACTTACTTGTTCTCCTGTTCCACGCTCTCGCAATCGCTTCATCATCCACGTTAGGAACCAAGTGAGTACACTGACTTGATCAAGCCCTCTTCCGGTACCGAACTCCTCCCTCTGACTCTCCCTGTGACCGTTCCGACCTTGACCCTGCCTTGCAGCAATATTTGAGAATTATGTCGCCGAAATCAGATTGGATGGAAAGCCCGTCCAACTAGCCCTCTGGGATACTGCGTAGGTACTTGAGGATGATCAGGAGGAAGAGGAAGAGGACGTCTCCGAACAGATGAGGACGTCTCAGAGACGAACGTTCTGCTGATCTGGTTTCCACCAACACTACCCATGGCCTTGGAATGATCACAATGCAGAGGGCAGGAAGAGTATGAGGTGAGTTCCCGCAGTGCATTTATTCCTCAATGATATGTAAATCAAACCGACACCGGGCTCCGGGCTCCGATTCCATTTTCCTGCTGCCCTCCCCCCCTCCCTCAACAGCGACTGAGACCACTATCCTACTCTCAAGCGCACGTCATCCTGATTGCATTCAGTATCGACACTCCGGATTCGTTGGAAAATGTTACCGTCAAGGTGAGCACGCCACCTGTCTCCCGTTGATCTACGTGCAGACCTCTCGCACCCGACTGACGAGATCCGGAGGCCCTTTCCCTTTTCCCTCCTTTTCTTTCTTTTTGCCCGTCTCTGCAGTGGATGGACGAGGTAAGACAAATATGCGGGCCTTCTGTTCCAGTCCTTCTTGTCGGATGTAAGAAGGATCTGAGAGAGGAGGCCATAGCCAAGGGGAAGCCTCTGGCCGGCCACTTTGTCGAAAGGGCTCAAGGCAAAGAGGTCGCGAATCAAATCGGAGCAAGGAGTTACCACGAGTGCTCGTCACTCAAGAACGAGGGAGTGGACAACGTGTTCGAGGCGGCGACAAGAGCTGCCATGCTTGTCAGGACCCCCGGCAGAGGCGGCTTTGAAGGCTCAAAGAACTCAAAAGTCTCCAAGGAGACCAAGGACGACGTTGGCGGTTGTAAATGTGTCGTCCTGTGACAGCTGAAAAACAACACCCTTTACGACCGACCGCAGACCCTTACCAAGTTCACTCCCAGATGCCCACAGAGACCCCCTCCTCTACGCGGTGAATGCACCTTTTTTTTTTTTTTTTTTTGGGGGGGGGGGGCATATAAAAACAGACACACACACTCATCCATATACTCAGATGAAGCATGCATATGCAGGACGCCACTCCCCCCAACACACAAAAAAAAAAGAATCTCACGAGTACCCCGTCTGCCTTTCCCCTACTCTTCCTTCTCCCCCCATCATCGGTTCTCGTACTGTCCATTTCTTCCCCTTTTTTTCACCATCAACCCACCACATATGTCCAAACAACACGTCGCCTTCCCCTTCCTTACATCGATAAGATCCATCTGACCAAAGCTTCGAACGTCAAAGGACAAAAAAAAAAAAGGGCAGACAAAGTGGTGTGGCGGTCGTGATTGTTCTTGGACACCACCAACCTCCTTTTTCGTCACCCGAGAGGGAGGGAGAGTCAAAACGCTTCGGTCTAACCTTGCCATTTCTTCTTGTCGTAGGATAGCTGGGGAGAGAAGAGGTAGATTACAAAAAGGGGGATTCCTTCTCGGTGAGGGAGAGGGGTGGGGATTTGGAGGTTGGGAGGGTAAGTTTGCCCAAGAAGGAGAAGGAGGGATGCCAAGGTTGGAGGGGGGGGGGGGGGGGGGGGGGGGGGGG